GGCTCTGGTCTCAGGGATCACTCCGGCAGTGCTCAGGGGATCTTATGTGGTGCAGAGGATGGAACCTAGATCAGCTGCGTGTAAGGCAAAGGTTCTGCTTACTGTACGATTGCTCCAGGCCTGACAGTTCTTTTTTCAAAATGGTATTGACAACTCTGGGTTTCTTGTATTTCTATGTGACTATTACGATCAGGTTGACATTTCTGCAAAAAAGATTCTTCAGCTCAGGGGTTGCTCCCGGAGGTGCTCAGGGCAATATGTGATACTAGAGACCAATGTTGGGTCTCCTGTGTGCATAACCCCCTGACCTCGATAAATTGATCCTTTTTGGTGTTTTGTAAGCCAAATTTTTTCCTTTAATTTTATTCTGTATATTTTTTTCCTCACAAGTAGAAATGGGCTGGAGCGATAGCACAGCGGTAGGGGGCGTTTGCCTTACAAGCGGCCAACATGGCCGACGCGAGTTCGACTCCTCCACCCCTCTTGGAGAGCCCAGCAAGCTGCCGAGAGTATCTCGCTCACATGGCAAAGCCTGGCAAGCCCCCATGACGTATTCGATATGCCAGACACAGTAACAACAAAGTCTCATGATGGAGACGTTACTGGGCCCGCTCGAGCAAATCGATGAACAACGGAAGGACCGTGACCGTGACAAGTAGAAATATGTTAAATACATTCTTAACAGTTTCAGTAATGTATAATTGATAAATAAAATTATAAGATAATTGATAATTATGGAATAGGATGATAGCTCAGAAGACTGCGGCACATGTTTTAGTTTTTTTTAAATTTTTATTAGTGAAACACCATTAGGTACAGTTGTAGACTTACAAATTTTTGTGCTTGGGTTTCAGTTATACAATGATCGAATACCCATCCCTCCACCAGCACCCATTCTCCACCACCACTGATCCCAGTATCCCTCCCACCCCCCATTCCCCCATCCCACCCTACCTCTGTAGCAGGGCATTCCCTTTTGTTCTCTCTCTCCTTTTGAGCTGCAGCACGTTTTGCATGTGGGAAGCCCAAGTTCGATTCCTGGGACCGCATAGTTCCCTGAGCAAGCACAGCAGGAATGGCCCCTGAGCCCCTAGAGTAGCTCCCTAGCACCACCAGGTGTGTCCCCAAACAAATTACCTTATTTGTTGAATTTCACATGTTAATCAATCGATAGCACAGCGGTAGGGCGTTTGCCTTGCACACAGCCAGCATGGCCGATTCAAGTTCGATTCCTCCGCCCCTCTCGGAGAGCCCGGCAAGCTACCAAGAGTATCTCGCCCGCACGGCAGAGCCTGGCAAGCTCCCCGTGACGTATTCGATATGCCAGACACAGTAACAACAAAGTCTCCAATGGAGACGTTACCGGGCCCGCTCGAGCTCGAGCAATCAATCTTGCATTCCTGGGATAAATTCCACTTTCACCTTTTTCTGTTACTGGATTCAAACTGCTACTATTCTATTAAGAAAGTCTATTGATATTTAAAAGATATTTCTTTGGTTTTTGTGGGAAGAGGGTTACTAGCAATGCTCAGGGGTTACTCCTGGCTCTGCACCCAGGAATTACCGCTGGCAGTGGTCAGGGAACCATAGGTGATGCCAGGGATTGAACCTGGGTCAGCCGCATGCAAGACAAGCACCCTACAGCTTCCTACAAACAAACAAACACTGTCCTCCCATTGTTCATCGATTTGCTGGAGCGGGCCCAGTAACGTCTCCATTTTGAGACTTCTTGTTACTGTGTTTGGCATATTGAATATGTCACAGGTATCTTGCCAGGCTTTGCCGTGTGGTTGCTGGCCAAGCTCTCCAAGAGGAATGGAGGAATCGAACCCAGCTCGGCTGGGCTGGCTGCGCGCAAGGCAAACACCCTACCGCTATTCTATTGCTCCAGCCCCAGCTGGAGCTCCAGTTTCCTACATACTGTATAATTTCTTTGTCCTCTCTCCTCCCTCCCTCCCTCCCTCCCTCCCTCCCTCCCTCCCTCCCTCCCTCCCTCCTTCCTTCCTTTCTTCCTTCCTTCCTTCCTTCCATCTGGTCCAGGGAGAGAACCCAGAGTCTTTCCCCACAAGGCAAATACTCTATCACGGAGTGACTCTCAGCCTCATTGGTAGTTTCCTTTTCCTGTCACTTATTCATGAGGTTTGGTGTGCTGGCCTCCTAGAACAAGAAGAGTTTCTCCTGCTTTTGTGCTTTACCACCACTGCCTCTTCATGGAGCTGTGCTGTGTAATTGCCCTGCTCAGAGATGGCCAGTTCTCAACCAGTCACAGCCCCAGGCATTTACCACTCTCCTTCAGCTAGGCTTGGCCCAAAGTATCCATTGCCTGCTGGTGCCTGTGAAAAGAATAAATAAAAGTCTGGGCCCTAAGGGCTGGAGTGATAGCACAGCAGGTAGGGCATTTGCCTTGCACGCAGCCAACCCAGGTTTGATTCCCAGCATCCCATATGGTCCCCCACCCCCCAACACTGCCAAGAGTAATTCCTGAGTGTATGAGCCAAGAATAACCCCTGTACATTGCCGGGTGTGAACCAAAAAGCAAAATAAAAGTCTGGACCCTGAAACTCAGTACCAGTTCTCAGCTGGTGGTTGTTCAGACCCTGCAGTGCTCCTGTTACAAAATAGGTCCGAGTCTCTTGGTTTGAAATGCATTTTTCTAGACAATAGATTGTAGACAAGACCGTCACATGTCAGGACGGACTAAAGAGTTTGACAAAATCAGAATTCTTTTTTTTTCTTTTTGGGTCACACCCGGCGATGCACAGGGGTTACTCCTGGCTCTGCACTCAGGAATTACTCCTGGCAGTGCTCGGGGGACCATATGGAATGCTGGGAATCGAACCCGGATCAGCTGCCAGCAAGGCAAACGCCCTACCCGCTGTGCTATGGCTCCAGCCCCATAAATCAGGATTCTAAGAGGACCATCTTGTCTAGGCAGCCACCACCTTTTACCAGCACACTGAGCCAGCCAGGCTGCAGCAGGTGCCCCTAAAACCCATTCCACCAACCAAACCTGAAAACAGGGCCGGGGACTTGACTCAAAGGGCTAGTACTTATGCTTTGCATGTGGGAGGCCCAGGCTTGACACCACATGGTTCCTTGAGTTCCACTGGGAGTGATTCCCCTAGCACTGTATCAGGAATAGCCCCTGAGCACCACCAAGTGTGGTCCCTCCCCCAAAGCAGGGCTGGTAAGATAGCTAAAGTGGTAGAATTTAATCCTTGGCATTACCTGCCCCCACCCCCAGCACTGCCAAGTGTAGTCCCGATGCTCCCACCTACCCCCACCCAGAATCATCCTGGTGACCCCTGAGCCCTGCTGGACAGAGCAACAGTCACAGGGGGCAGGCAAGGAAAAAAATTACAAAGGTGTACTAAGTTCTGCAGGCAGTGAGCATCTATTTTGGCTTTGTCTCATTTCACTTACTGTCATTTTACTATGACTGTGTTACTGTGAATGGGATATACTGATATCCTGTCATCACAGCTTACTCACTTTAAAAGGGTCTGGGGCCTGGGGCATTGAATCTGGGACTCACTCATGGTGCTTATGGTTGCCCTCTACTACATTAAGAAAGATATGTTTATTCCTAGCATGCTAAGGAACTTTATAAATCTCCAATAATGACTCAACATCTATCTCATTTATAAAATTAAAAAGGGTGGGAGGGGGCGGCACAGAGACAGTATAGCATGTTGGGCGCTTGCCTTGCACGTGGTCAAATTCAGATATACAGATCCGGGGGCTGGAGCGATAGCACAGCGGGTAGGGCGTTTGCCTTGCACGCAACCGACCCGGATTCGATTCCCAGCATCCCAAATGGTCCCCTTAGCACTGCCAAGTGTAATTCCTGAGTGAAGAGCCAGGAGTAACCCCTGTGCATTGCCCAGTGTGACCCAAAAAAGGCAAAAAATATATATATACAGATCCCTGGCACTGCGTATGGTCCTTCAAGCACCACCATCCCTGAACACAGAGTCAGGAGTAAGCCCTAAAGACCTTTGGGTGTGGCACAAGACAAGAAAATATGTTTCTTTTCTTTTATTCTTTGGGGGGGGGGCAGCAGCCACACCCAACGATGCTCAGGAGTTACTCCTGGCTCTGCATTTAGGAATTACTCCTGCTGGTGCTCGGGGGATCAAACCTGGGTTGGCTGCATGCGAGGCAAACGCCCTACCTGCTGTACTATGGCTCCAGTCTAACAAAATCTGTTTCTTTTAGTTTTTTGCCACACTCAGTGATGCTGAGGGGCTACTTCTGTCTGCGTGCTCTGGTGAGCCTAGGGAACTATATGGGGTGCTGGAGATAGAACCCGAGTCGGCCGTGTGCAAGGCAAGCACCCTACCCACTATGCTATCACTCTAGCCCCAACGAAACTGGGGCTGTTATAGAAATGAGGGATGTTATAGAAGGACAAATACCCCAGTCAAGAGTGAACAATCTTTTTCTTTTGTTTCTGAACCACACCCAGTGGATCTCAGGGGTTACTCCTGACTCTGCATTCAGGAATCACTCCTGGCACAACTCTCGGGACCATATGGGATGCTGGGGATTCCCCCGGGGTCTGCAGTGTGCAATGCAAGTGCCCAACACTGTACTGTCCCCCAGCCCAGGAGTGAATAACCTTGATGGGGAGTTTGATAGCATGGACGTGGGCATGACTGGACACTCAGAGCCATGAACAGGAGGTGCTGGGGTCCCCCAGGGTCTTTAGGCCTGACATGTGCACCTCACTTAGAAAGGGGTGTCACTGGGGTTCAAGAGGCCTCCTAGCAAGGGGGCTATGGAGCCCAGGAAACTGCTTACCTCCTTAAGACCTTTCGCACTGTCTGCAGCACCAGGCTCAGAGGAAGCAGCTTAGACCTGGGAAGGCTGGCCCTGAAGGAGGGTGGCACGCTGCCACCCATTGTCCAGGACAGGACGGCCCCAGGCCCTCCCAGGGCTTGTCGGCAGCTCCCGCACGCCGGCACTCAGGCAGCGAGTCGGGCGCTGGAAGCAGCAGCGGCAGCAGCTGCAGCAGCAGCAGCTACCTGGACGCAGTTTTCTCCACCTCGGGCAAGTTCCCTGAGACCCAGCGGGTGTCCGGCCGGTGCCCTTCCTGGCCCCCTCCCTCGAAGCAGGTGAGCCCCGGCGCCCCCGCGGGAGCGGCGGCCCTGGGTGGGGCTCCCCGGGACGCAGTGAGCCCCGCAGTCTGGCCCCGGGTGGGGCGGGCGCTGCGCCGGCGGCGGGCGGGGCGGGCGCGACGCTGCGCGGCGCCGAGCGGCGGCGGCGGCAGCGGCGGCGGTGACAGCAGGTGGGTCGCACGCAGCAAGTCCCGCGGTGTGGACCTGCCCCGAGAACCGGCCGAGGCGCGGTCCCCGGGGAAGGGGACGGGGACGGGGGGCGGGGAGGGGTCCGGGGCGTGCGGTCTGGGCTGGGCTGGGGAAGCAGTGGGTGTTTGGTTTGTTGCTCAGGGTCTGGGACAACAGCCCCCCCCCCCCCCCCCCCCGCCCCGCGCGTCGCCGCCCCCTTCCCCCTCACCCCCCTTCTCCGGGCGACCGGGGCGGGGAGGAGGCAGGTGTCCGCCTGGACCACGCCCAGGGCTGCAGAACCGCCCCAGTTCCGGCTCCTGGAGGCCCAGCCTGCCGGCGGCAGGGAATCCCACTCCGGATCCCGCAGCTCAGGGCGCCTCCCAGACGCTCCCTGGGACTGCTGATCCTCCCCGCCTTGTGCCGGGAGTAGGGGTTCAAAGCAAAACACCAAACCATCTCTAGCTCTCTGGTCTCCAGCGCATGGACAGGGGCCACCCAGGCTGGCCAGAACCCCCTGACGCCCCCTGTCACTCCCCTCTGGCTCTGTAGGTGCTACCCGTGGCCTGGTGCTCTCCCAGCTGCCCACCATGGCCAGCTGGCTGCCCAGCACCGCCGGGCTGGCCCGGCTCTGCCACAGGCTGAACCGGCTGAAGCCCCTGGAGGAGTCCACCATGGAGACATCCTTGAGGCGCTGCCTGTCCACTCTGGACCTCACCCTGCTGGGCGTGGGCGGCATGGTGGGCTCTGGCCTCTACGTGCTCACGGGCACCGTGGCCAAGGAGATGGCAGGTCCTGCCGTCCTGGTGTCCTTTGGGGTGGCCGCAGTGGCCTCCTTGCTGGCCGCCCTGTGCTATGCCGAGTTCGGGGCGCGTGTGCCCCGCACAGGCTCTGCCTACCTGTTCACCTACGTTTCCATGGGTGAGCTGTGGGCCTTCCTCATTGGCTGGAATGTGCTCCTGGAGTATCTCATCGGTGGTGCTGCGGTGGCCCGGGCATGGAGTGGCTACCTGGATGCCATCTTTAGCCACCGCCTGCGCAACTTCACCGAGGTCCACGTGGGCGTGTGGCAGGTGCCCTTCCTGGCCCGCTACCCAGACTTCCTGGCCGCTGGCATTCTGCTCGTAGCCTCTGCCTTTGTCTCCTGCGGAGCCCGTGTCTCTTCCTGGCTCAACCACACCTTCTCAGCCATCAGCCTGGTTGTCATCCTCTTCATCATCATCCTGGGATTCATCCTGGCCCGCCCACACAACTGGAGCACTGCGGAAGGTGGCTTTGCACCCTTCGGCTTTTCGGGCATCATGGCGGGCACCGCCACCTGCTTCTACGCCTTCGTGGGCTTTGATGTCATTGCCGCCTCCAGTGAGGAAGCTCGGAACCCTCAGCGGGCTGTGCCTCTGGCCATTGCCATCTCCCTGGGCCTGGCAGCAGGGGCCTACATCCTCGTGTCCACTGTGCTGACCCTCATGGTGCCCTGGCACAGCCTGGACCCTGATTCTGCGCTCGCCGATGCCTTCTACCGGCGGGGCTACAGCTGGGCTGGCTTCATAGTGGCAGCGGGCTCCATCTGCGGTAAGAGGCTTGTCTGGGCAGGGTGGAAGGCCATGGGCAGGGAGGTCCTGCTCACATTCCCATCTGGACGTCAGTTTTGCCAGTTGCAAACAGGCCCGGGAAGGTACTAGTCCTTAGGTTGCCCACTCAGACCTGTTGCGGAGGCTCTGCTCACCCACTGCCGCCGCCCCCTTCCCAGCGGTGTGCACCACTGTTGATTCAGCCCACGCTCCTAGGCCCTTTCCCCTGCAGAGCAGCTCCTGGGAAGCAAACCCTCCCCAGCTTCTCCAGTGTCTGCCGCCTATTGCAGGAGGCCCTGTTCTGGGGTGGGAGGGTAACAACCAGCACCCCACAGCTCTCACCCTGAGAGCTCCTCCTGCGGGTGTTCCTACGGGACCACCCACTGGTCCCCAGCACCGGCTTTTGGAAGGGGGTTGTCCACCACCACACTGACCTTCTGTTCACCCTCTGCCCCAGCCATGAACACCGTCCTGCTCAGCAACCTCTTCTCCCTGCCACGCATCGTCTATGCCATGGCTGCCGATGGGCTCTTCTTCCAGGTGTTTGCCCAGGTGCACCCCCGGACACAGGTGCCCGTGGTGGGCATCCTGGTGTTTGGGGTTCTCATGGCCCTGCTGGCGCTGCTGCTGGACCTAGAGGCACTGGTGCAGTTCCTGTCCATCGGCACACTCCTGGCCTACACTTTTGTGGCCTCCAGCATTATTGTGCTCCGCTTCCAGAAGGCGCCTCCATCCAGTTCTCCGGGCCTGGCCAGCCCCGGCCCCATGGCCAAGGAGTACAACTCTTTCTCCGACCACATCCAGCTGGTAGATTCGGAGGTGCCTGAGCCCGGGCAGCTCCGGCCAGCTCTGAGGCCCTACCTGAGCTTCCTAGGCGCGTGTGGGCCTGGTGTGGTTGTGGCCTGGGCACTTGGCATCCTGGTGGCCTCTGCCATCACCCTGGGCTGTGTCCTGGTCTTCGGCAAGTCCGCTCTGCACCTCCCGTACTGGGCCTACACCCTGCTGCTCCTGCTCAGCGTGGTCGTGTTTGTGTTCAGTCTCCTTGTCCTCGGGGCCCACCAGCAACAGCGTCAAGAGGACACCTTTCAGGTACCCCTCCTCCTAGCCAACACCCCCTGGCTGTCAGCGCAGTCAACCCCTTGCTTGCATGAGAGCTAGGGAGGCGAGTCCCACTGCTCCCCACTTTCTGCATGACCTGGTTGAGTGGGCAGTGATCTCTAGAACCTCTGGGAAGCCAGGCCAGGCGGACAGTTGGTCCTGCCACCCAGCCCTTCCTGCCCCGGCCCCCTCAGATCCCCTTTGTGCCGCTGCTTCCGGCCCTCAGTATCCTCCTCAACATCTGCCTCATGCTGAAGTTGAGCTACCTGACCTGGCTGCGCTTCTCCATCTGGCTGCTGATTGGTGAGTGAGGGGCGGGGGCGGGGCTGGGAGTGGAGGCAGGCGGCGCTGGGCCCTGGTTCTGACTCCTGTCGCCCCTGCAGGACTCGTGGTCTATTTTGGCTATGGCATCAGGCACAGCAAGGAGAACCAGAGGGAGTGGCCGGGGCTCACTGACTCCCGCTATGTGGTTTTCCCCGACGGAAGCCTGGACGAGAGCGTGCAAGCCGTGCAGCCGCCCAGTCAGGCGGCAGCCCAGGAGCCCGACATCGTGGAGCAGCCTCCCTGTCCGTGAGGATGTCCAGGAGCCCCTCATCCCTGGCGGCTCAGGTCTGCTCCCCTTTCCCGGTGCGGGAGTCTCAGCACCTTATGACCTTAGTGCTGGGGCTGGAGCAGTCCCCCCCACACCCCCCAGTGCTGGTGGCATGGTCTCACTGCTCAGCACCTGGCAATGGATGACCAATTCCAGAAACTTGGACGGGTGGAAAGGGCATGAGGGGAGAGCCCCCAGTCCCGGAGTTCCACAATAATAACCACTTGGCTGGCCCTGCGGTCCGCCTGCTGTGTCCACTGTGGTGTTCTTGGTGGCATTGAGTCCTCACTTGCCTCCTTCCTCCCGAAACAAATGATGGCCCCTAGCAAAGACTCTGCAAGGGGGCAGAGCAGTGCTGAGTGCAGGACCCCGCCCAGCCCACAGTCTGGTGCCCCCTGCCCAACTCCAGGGTCCTGCAGGCACAGCAGATAAAGAAGGGGGCACAGAGGGGTGGGGCCAGGCTCCTCCCCACAGGCTCCCTACCCATGTCTCCTGCGAGTGGATCCCCCCCAAAGCAGAGTCTTGACCCCACACCCTGCCCCCGCTAGGAGGCTGTCTAGACAGGGAAGTGGAGTTTCAGGGTCCCCTTTGGTTTTTTAGGGGCTGTGCCAGTGGCTGACGCCTGCCCTGGGATGTGCAGATGCTCCCACAGGGCGCTTCCACCATCAGGCCCAAGCCAGGGAGAGTGGGGGTATTCACCTGGATACCCCAGAAAGTGCACAAAATGTGGGGCTCCCTCCCTGCGCCCATCCAGATTTAGAGCAGGAACTTTGTTGTCTAAGCTCCTGGGTCCGTTCCACTTACCTACAAATACCCCCTGCATAAAGAAGGGGAAGCGGGCAGAGGACGGGGGTGAAGGGGCCTGCCTGGTATGTGGCTAGCCCTGGTTCCTCCCAGCGCCATAGGGTCCCCCGAGCATCTCCAGGTGCATCCCTAGAGGCCCTCAGAGCCCCTCCAGGGTGTCCCAGCACTGCAGGACCTGAGCTGCACGGCTTCCTCGGGCCCTTACCTTGAGGCACTAGCAAGGTGCCCCGACCCCCCTAAAATATAAGACACAACTGGCAGTTGACCTCCCAAAAAATAAAACCCCCAAAACAAAAAAAAAAACAGAAGCAGAGGAATGGGCGAATTCTTATATCACCCTGAGCTGTGTAGCCCAGTTCTTGACTTCCAGCCTCAGGTCCACCCTATACACCTCATAACCTTCCCGAGACCAGAGTCCTTTCACCATCGACACCACCCCTGCATCCTGCCTGTAAGAACAATGCGAAAAGTTGCTGGCTCGGGCAGATTTTACTCTGGCATTTTCAACACTGGTGACATGGGACCCCCTTTGGGGGTGTCGAGGACCACCAGGTACTTGTAAGCCCACTAACTAGGCCTCAGGACCAGACACACCCCTGAAGACCTTCTGAACCCACCTCACCTCCCAATGGATGCTGCTCTGAGGGCAACAGGGACCCCTCCTCCCAAGTCTTAGCTGAGGCTTCGGGTGCCAGATGAAGCCAAATGCAGGCTCAGATGATGCCAGCTGTGGGCCCAGATGATGCCAGATGCAGGCCCAACCTGAGCCCCAGCCTGGCCCGTGTTGATCCCGCTGCCAACATCCTGGCCACCAGGCACCCTGGAGACAGCAGTCCTTGCTCCCTGCGTAAGGTGGGGGCTCCCATCCCTGCCCCCCATCTAAGAATCCAGAGGCTTGTGGCTCCTGTAACGCCGTCCCTCTGCGCCTGTCAGCCTGGCTGGAGAAACTCCCAGCCGGGGTGTGCAGGCTTCTGCAGAGAGTCTCCCAGGGGAGCTGGGCCGGCCTGAGGACCTTCCTGTGCTTTGCTGAGGACGTTCCTGCCAGTCTGGGCTCTCCCCTCGGTCGTGATTAAGATCTCCCATTGCCTTAGGCTGGCACAAGCAGATGCCCAGATGGGTTCTCAGGGACGTTGACGTGTATACCCTCCCACCACAACAGTGCCCAGGAGTGGCTCCTAGGGGTCAAGCTGGGGTCACCAAGAAGGCCCCCAAGTCAAGCCCTCCTCTCACTCCCCCCTACTTCAACCCTCCCTGAGCCCAAGTGCAGCCACAGGAAGTGGAGGATGCGCCTGAGCTGAGAAGCTCTGAGCCAGGTTGGTGCTTGTCCCTTCTGGGACTCAGTCGTCTGCTCAGGGGCATCTGTCCAGGCACCCAGCACCAGAGCAGCTGAGACACCCTCCGGGGTGTCAGGTCTGACTCTCCCTGCCTGGGCTTCTGGGGTACAGGCCTCAGTGCCAGAGCTCCTCATGACAGGTGCTGGCGGAGGAGGAGGCTGGAACCAGGCAGAGTGGGCGGAAGCCGGTGCAGACAGCTGGTGAGAGGGCGCCCCCGGGAACACTGCAGCCTTGGAGGTGCTTCTCCAGACACAGAGGCTGTGGCACCCGCCTGGATCAGCACCTGCAATGTGGTGGGCTCCGACTCCCCCTTGTTCAAGGCACCTGCTGCACTACGGGTCCCTACACAAAGCTGGCTCTGTCACTACCCGGGCAGCACCCCAGAAAAGTCAGCAGCCGCCAGGGACTGGACAGAGCATATCTGGGAGTTAAGGTGGACCCCGCAGCACGCTCCCCCTATTGGGGCTTTGTCTGTCAGATCCCAAAAGGTGGGGTTCCCTCACCTCATCCTTCCCAGGACTGTCCCCCAACAGTGGCCACAGAGGAGCCCCAGAGCCCGGGCAGGCCCATCTACACTCGTGCATCAGTGCTCAACTACCAGCAGCAGCAGCAGCAGCAATGGGGGCCAGTTCTAGGCCCCCTCTAAGGCACCTGGGCATCTGGAGATGGGGGTGCAGACTCCAGATCCGTCTGCTCACTGGGGATGCTCATCTCCGGGGCCTTTGCCTGCAGATGGGGTCGGTAGGTCAGAGCTCAGATCGCTGCTGTCCCCCATGCAGCAGAGCCCAGGCCGGCTGCCGCGTACCTCCTCATACTTGGCGTTCCGGTAGACGGGGGCTTCTGTGTCCACATACAACAGCACCACGTCACAGAAGACATTGATCTGGACGGGCAGGGAAGACTCACATTGCAGCCCCCTCCCGGCCTTCCTCCCACTTCCCCACCCCTCGTCCCCAAAACTCAACAGCTGTGCCAGGCCCCATCTGCTCCCACTGAGGGCGCCCCATGGGTCAGACTCACCAGGCCCAGCCACGCCATTCCCGTGCCCAGCGTGATGGTCGTCGGGATGAGCCCAAACTTCCCTGCCTGAGAGAGCCCCAGACTGAGCCTCCAGGCCATGCTATGGCCCCCTCCTCACTCCCCCCGAGGCCCCTCCTACCTGCCCAGAGACGAGGATGGTGAAGCGGATCCCATAGAGCTTGAAGAGGCTCCGGACCTCCACACCAGAAGCTGCCCACCAGTGAGTGGCTGTCCTGGAGGCAGGAGGGGTGCTCTGGGGCCTGCTCTGCCCACTCTGCGTCCTCCACTGAGTCCGTCCCCCCAGCCCCAGACATAGCTCAGCGGGGAAGGCTTTTGCCTTGCAGGATCCCCTGATCTCCACCAGCCCCAACAGGAGTGATCCCAGTGTGATCCCAAGGCACAGAGCCAGGAGCACTACGGGGTGTGGCCCCCTATTAAAATAAAAATGTTTTAAAATATACAAGCCCCTGAGTGGCGGAAGGGGCTGGGTGAGGCTGGTGGTGGGAGGACTCGAGAGAGGATGGGGAGTGTGTGCTGGGGGCTCCTGCTGCTCGCCCCCTTGCACACGGTGGGGCAGGGCAGGGCGGGTGTTGCGGCCGTCCCAGGACCCGGGGCCACACCTGAAGTTGTAGCTTCTCTCCAGCAGCTGGAAGGAGTAGTGAGGCCGGCAGTCAGGGTCCCAAGCATCCAGGTGACAGTCCCAGGAGATGTAGACATTTACGGCGCCACCCTGCACACAGTATGTCTCTGCTCCCCAGCCCGGGCCTGCTCCCCGACCCTCCCAGAACCCTGATGCCCAGACACCCACCCGCAGTGCCAGGTCCTCAAAATTCCCTCCAGCCTGGGTCACGAGGTCCCGGATCGCAAAGACGGGACAGTAGGGACTGTGGTGCGGGTCGTAGCGGCAGCGCTTGAAATAGTTGCTGTCCCAGGTCTTTAAGACATTGGACCTGGGGGTAGGGATGAGGCCAGAGATGATGCCAGGCTGGGAACAGCGTCGTCGGGCCCTCTGGGACCTACCCTGCTTACTTGAAGAAGTTGAACCTGCTGAAGGTGACCGTGTTTTTGATGAAAAGTGTGAAGTTCTGGGCCTCGGTCAGCAAAGGTCTCCTGAGAGGGGGAGGGAAGTAAGGGGGTTGCTCGGGCCACCCCGGCCCCTGCCCTGGGCTGCGGAGGGACTCACATGGGCATGGGCCTTCTGTTCTCCACGGGGCACCAGCCCCAGATCTCGCAGGTCCTATAGGTTCCGTTGAACTGCACACACCGTCCAGTTTTCATGCCTGGGAAACACAAGACAAGCCCGAGGCCCACAGAGCTGCACAGGGCAGAGTCAGATGGAAGGAGAGCCGGGTGAGGCCAAGGAGAAGGCTCAGAGGCACGGAGCACGGCTGTGGGTGCAAGAGGCCCAGCGTCCATTGTGACACTACACAGTCCCACCAGCACCACCTGGTGTGACCCCAAACAAACTAGCAAGGAGGGACAGAGCTGGGGGCCATGCGGGATCTCAGCACACACCCAGAACCCTTTCCGGAAGGAGGCCCCAGAAGACAGAGCCCACAGTTACCGTGGCTGTAAGTGCCCATCTCCCCTTCAGAACAATCGGCATCAGTCCAGCAGTGAGCCAGGGGGACAGAGGGGTGCTGAGGGGGCAGAGAGCAGAGTGACCCCAAGGCGCCTCCTGCCCACCACCCTGCTCTGCAGTGTATAGCAACACGCCCTCCCCAGCCTTCGCCTCATACACTGCCCTGAGATTGGGGGTTCATGGGAAATCTGGAAGAGGCAAATGGGAGAGAGGGTCAGGACCCAGGATTTGACTCATGGGGTGGAGGAAAGGTCTGGCATGTTCAAGGCCCAATCCCTGCCACCACCTGCCCTTTGAGCACTGCCAGCTATGGCCCTAGTGGCCCCCAGCACCACTGGGCACCAAGCACTGAATTGCCAGACCCATGATCCAGGCTTAGTATTACGGAAAGTGACCCCTGGGGGAAAAAATGGGGCCGGAGCAAGAGCACAGCAGGTAGGGCACTTGCCTGGGTTCAATCCCCAACATACTATATGGTTCCCTGAGCCCTACCAAGAGTGATCCCTGAGCACA